AAAAAAAAAAAAAAAAAAAAAAGGAAACAAGTTTGCCCAAACAAGAATTTCAATGTCAGATAATAAATATTAGAGTGAAAAAATTATTGATACAAACAATTAGTGATAACAGAACTAAGTGAAATATGTCCCAAGTACGTGGCATGCACCAGGCCAGCTCGTCTTTCTATACGACAGTAGGGCCAAATCTGGAACTTTATTTTAAGTAGAAATACAGTCTCCCTCACCCCACCCCCAAGACTCAGATAACTTTCTTCTGCCTCAGTGGCCTCATCTGGACCCAATCCTCCTTTGGAGAAAAACGTTAATATTTTCAAAATAACACAATTTGTTGAAAATGTCTTGCCTAAGTAAAATACTGTACCACGTATAGCAAAGCACTATGTGACTTAGGTTTCAAATTCAGACTCATGAGATGAATCCTGAGTTAACGCACTTTGAAAATACCACCGTACAAAATCAGAGTGTGTGTTTACAACTGCCCCACGTACATAAACCCGGTGTCAGCAGACAGAGGCAAGTCAGGAAGCATCTACTGAGAAAGAAGCCGAGGTAAAAGGAAAGAGGAGACACAGATGCGTACAGTGCAACACAGAAGGAACAGCTGACGGCCAAGACCTGGGGGCAGGACTTTCGTCTATTTCCGGGCTCCACCCCGTCATCCTGAGTAACGCCCAGCACACAGGAGGCGGCCTGTAAGCACATGTCAACTGGATACACAAAGGGCTAATGTAGTGTGTGCCTTCTGAAGAGGCCCACCCCGCCCAGCCCCGGAGCCAAGGACTGCTCCCTGGTCTGGTAACCTGACCCCTTTCCTCCCCCACTCGCTTGGGACAGGGAGCCCAGCAGGCAGGTCTGTGTCTTACAGTCCCCTTCATCCTTCCCACCAGGGATGGTTACTTGGTCCACGACGGGCCACTAAGGGTCTGCCTTCTGAAAACTTTGACATGGGACCCGGGGAGATGATCTGTTTTTCTGTTAAGCTGTCTTCTGCCAACTTGATTATTAGACCAGCTGAAGAACCTAGATGGGTAGAAGGAAAATTTTTCTGCCCTTTTCACTCGCAAAGGAGTTTTACTATCTCACAGAATAAATTCTTGGAAAGGAAATATTCTAGTCTTCCTAAGTCAGAAACCTATGAAAGTGAGAAGCCTTTGGGCAGCACCTCTAACTAGCTCTGTGGAAAGAGTCAGACCTCGGACACTGTTTCAGAATAAAGAATTTGGTTGGTCTTAGCCCTGGCTTCCTGGGGGAGTGGCCTCTGGCCCCTTGGAATTTCCCAAGTAATAGGAGTGTCTATGGGCCCTTCTGAGCAACCTGCGTTTATGCCAATGAGGTGACTCATAGTGGACCGTGGACAGTCTTAGAATGGGGACTGACCTGCCAGAAAAAACCAGGCGGCTGCAGAGTTGGGGGTTGAGCCAGTTGACATCAGCCTGACCTCCTGACTGGGGGTGCGGGAGGGAGACACAGGGACTGGACACCTATATACAGGAATCCCATAAAAATGCGGGACCCTAAGTGTCCACTGACAGATGAATGGATAAAGAAAATGTAGCACATATATACAATGGAATATTACACAGCCATAAAAAGAAACGAAACTGAGTTATTTGTAGTGAGGTGGATGGACCTAGAGTCTGTCATACAGAGTGAAGTAAGTCAGAAAGAGAAAAACAAATACCGTAGGCTAACACATATATATGGAATCTAAAAAAAAAAATGTCATGAAGAACCTAGGGGCAGGACAGGAATAAAGACACAGACATAGAGAATGGACTTGAGGACACGGGGAGGGGGAAGGGTAAGCTGGGTCGAAGTGAGAGAGTGGCATGGACATATATACACTACCAAATGTGAAATAGATAGCTAGTGGGAAGCAGCCACATAGCACAGGGAGATCAGCTCGGTGCTTTGTGACCACCTAGAGGGGTGGGATGGGGGGGTGGGAGGGAGGGAGATGCAAGAGGGAAGAGATATGGGAACATATGTATATGTATAACTGATTCACTTTGTTATAAAGCAGAAACTAACACACCATTGTAAAGCAATTATACTCCAATAAAGATATTAAAAAAAAAAAAGAGGCGGCCAGAAAATTGCAGCTTCTAACACACCCTGAGCTAAAGAGAGGGGGAGGGGTCAGGACACACAGGAAGGAAGAGCTTTCATGGGAAGGCGGAGGAAACATTTGGAAAACAAAGGTCGCCCTGTTAGGCAGGAAAGTTTCTCAGGTAGAAAGTTCTCTCTGGTGAAAGTTCAACATATGGACAAGTAATAACACCCATGTAATGAAACCCCAACAAAACTATGGACACCAAAGCTCAGGTGACATGTCCTGAGGAAGCTTCCCACCGAGACCCTGCCAAACCTCGCTCTGTCTCTTTGCGCTGGTCCTGATTTGTACCCTTTCTGATAAAACTATAATCATAAGTATAGCACTCTTTCCTGAGCACTGTTATTCTAGTTATTACTGAAACTACAGGGTCAATGGGAACCCTGAATTTGTAGCCAGTTGCTCAGAAGTGCAGGTGGTCCGGGGACCCCAGACCTCGCAGCTGGGGTCTGAATGAGGACAGACTTAGAGAACTGTGTCCTTAACCTGTGAAGTTTGACTAACTCTGGGTAGTTAGTATTAGAATCGCCCTGCAGACATCACTGAATTCTAGGATGACGGAGTCAAAGGGAAACTGTTAACAATCACAAAAGTGTATTCG